AGAGGTCTGCGAGGGGTCTGGCACAAAGAATGAGAAACTACAAGGAATACAGTGCATTTGTCTAGGAATGCATCTGATTTCATTTCTCATACTAGTCTAGCTCTCACAAGCTGGCTTCATTTGCCAACTTGAATTGTCTCATGAGCATTAAGCTGCTCCTGTCAGAGCTCCGATTAGAATCCACTCACAGCCTATTCAGAAGCACAACAGAGTACTTGCCAATAGTCAGGGAAAACAGATGAAATAGACAGTGTGGGGTAATATGCGAGGGGATTGTATGTGACACAGGAATGAGCCTTTGCTCAGTAACCTGGTCATTTTATGCCACAAACTTCATCTTTAACTTTAACTTCAGGTAACTACTAAAACTAAAATATACCCTGCCAGGTTGGACAGATGGTCTACTTATTATAAAATGTATTTTTAGTCTGTCACAGAAACCTGAGAAAAATACTTTAAGGTGGTCAATTATCAACAAACATCCATTAAAAAAGAATACTAAGACACTTTCACCAACAACACTCCATTACCACAATTTGCTTATAAGAACAATCCTATCACATAAATATCACAGACAATAACTGAAATTAAAAACTAACCATTATATCCTTCCAGTACAGAGTCCACTAACTGTCTGAAGGTTTCATCATAGAGATCAATCTGTTTTGAACTACATGAAGAGAAAAAGGGGAAGTTACAGCTGGAAATTAATTTTTTTTTCTTTTTCTTTTTAACTCTTCTTAACCCTTTAACTCCCAGAAGTCATTGATGTGTAACTTCTCCCTTTAATATCCATACATTATCCAACAAACAGGTAACAAGAATACTCAAACTTATCAGGTAGAAGTTGTTATCTTGATCAAACACCAAATTCTCAAAATTAAATTATGAGGAAATGTGTAGCAGCTAGAGGGGAGAATTAACAATCAGATCTTGGGAGTCAAAGGATTAATATCTAGTTTGCCAATCACACTCTCCATACATGTCGCTGTATGAGTCATGGGCTCACAAGCTCACAAATTTGAAAATCCCCCCCAGTTTGACCTTCTATTCAGCATTGGCACTATTCAGTACAGTACTGTGCAAAAGTAATGCAAACACATCTTGACAAAATTAGACTAAATTCCTAGCTTTTCAACAAATTCTTGACCAAAATGGAATTTCAACAACATTTCTGCAAATTTGCAAAACACCTACTGTTTTCAACAGCTCCAACTTTCTGCAAGATATTCCTTGTTTATGCAACTAAAACTGTAGAGCAGAAATTCATTCCTCAAACAAAATTTTGTTTAAAAAACCTCAATCAAACTTTCAATCAAATTTTCGCTTGAACTTTAGACAAAAGATCCTTAGAACAAGAAATGAAATTAGCTTTTTTTATTTCCATTACTTTTGCACATTACTGTAAATTTTGTTTTTAAGCATTATTTCTCCCACATTACTTCCTTATCTTTACAAATACTCTAAGTGCACTATTTCTGATGTTAATCTCAATTCTATTCAGATTAGGTAATCAAATGAAAAACAAGATATTAGTTCTAGGAGACAATGGATGGCATGAGCCTTAAATAAGCTAATGCCAAAATAAAAATGGTTTAAACTTACTTCCAGTCATAAACTGAATCATAGGTGAACATTCTTGGCACTTCCTCTTTTTTAGCTGGATTGTTGATCTCAATTGTTCCTTTCTTCACATTCATCTCAATTATCCTTAAAAATATAAAATCGAGAAAGTGGTTGAAATATAATTAGGTATCAATATTACCATCTAAATGATTCTTTCACAATTTTGACAGGTTAACTTATTTTTGAAATAAATCTCAATGAAGTCTCTCATTCAAACAACTAGCAATATCAAAATAAAAATTAAATAAAATAAAAATGACAATTAGCCATTAGCCAGGGTAAAATGATTTTTCACTTATTCTTTGGAAGGTTTATCAAACAGTGGAATGCCCTTCCTAAGGAGATACATGTACATGCAGGAAGTGTTGAAGAAGAAAAGGAAGTTTTGTAAAGTAAGCTAGACTATCCCTAGTTAAAAATTCTATTTCTAAGGCTAATTTCTTATTTTATTCCAGGAGCATCTGTGGTAGAGATAACTTCCTAGATTTCCTTTAATGTATTTTTGTTTATAATAATCACCATGATTTGAACTTGAGTTATTGATAATAAAACCCTTTTATTGCTGTTTGATTTTGAATAATGTGTAATACTAATATTCATCACACATGTTCTTATCATCAAATAACTTTTTCCCACCTTTGATGTCCTTGAGCTATTTCCTTCTGGTTCATTGGACGACATCTCACCACCACCTTCACTGACTCACCCCCTTTTTTGTTAGACTATGCAAATCAACACAACAATCAACAATGACTCACTCCCTTTTTTGTTAGACTATGCAAATAAACAAGTTAAAAAAGATTTCCCATTTACTATTTTTCGCTCTGAACATGGTAGATATTCTACTTTCCGCCAAAAATGCTCAAAGAAGGTTCCAATTTATTTATTACTGGTTCAGAGTCAATTGATGTGCAAACTAAACTCACTTACATTCAAAAAGTGTTGATTGTGAACTACGATTCATGCACATAATATGTCGAGTATTAATTCAAACTTTCAATGATGAAAGAATTTTATTTTGAGAAGGCAAACCAAGGAGGTAATAGAGACCCCGAGTTTTAGCGTAAAATGTCGTAACTTTGGCTTCTAAGCTTAACAACACCTGCACATAGTAAAATTTAAAAAATACCGAATAACAAAATAGAGACAACTTCGCATTATATTGGTATCGTTAATGTGTAATTAACCCAATAGTGAAACCACAAGTGAGAATCAGACTGAAATCCTCGGACATCCCTGACTTAACGGATAAAAATAACAAAATCACAAATTGTAAATCAGATCAAAACCGGTGATACATTTCAAAAACAGTTTACATTTCATAACTCACCATGGCGACTGTGAGTAAGCTGGATTTCGGCTTGTTTCCTGAATAAAGCGTCTATAGGTCAACCTTATCGCAAAGTCAGTTAATTTTTCATATTTTTTCCACATCAACAAATGCTATGAAAAGAAGCGGATCCCTGTATTTCTCGCATATTTTCCAGAGAGGAAGCAAGAAAGCCGCCATCTTCTCTGTTTTAGTATCAAGTCCCTCTCGGTCTATATTAGAGCCGTACCCACTCTACCCAGTCCTTTTCGGAAATATTTCTCGCCTCGGTCAGACGAAAAGGCGCGCAAGTGTAAGTTACCCGACCAGAGGCAGATTATCATACCTACTGTTGAAGAAGAGTGAAGTCACATGGTTTCCAAAGGTTAAAGTCTCGCTTCTCATACAAGCCGTTTCGCTTAACACTGGTATTTTTAGCATTTTTAGGAGAGCGCCTTTTCTGTTGGCATTATTTTCTCACATTCCCCCTGCAGGGACGTCAAATAAAATGCGCTACCTGAGAAAGTAAGATAGCTATGATATTTCACAAACAGAAAAAGACTACTAAAAAAATGAAAATAATATTTAAAGGCAGAAAAAATTCACGATGAATAACGCTCTATTTCCTTTTCCATCACTTCCCAAAGAGAAGGTGTCATTTGATTTTTGAAGTGACTAATAGCACTGAATTGTTCCCTAGTGATGTCGGTCTTGACAGCCGGAAACTTTCTTCTCGTAAAGCACCTCCTTCCATTCATCAATAACGATGGTTCATCAGCCAAACCTCAGCAAAACCTGAGGAAAACCAGTAAGTAGATTGCGATAGGCTAGGATTCTATCGAGGGGGAAAAAATTTACTCGTAGATGCAACATGCCAAGCAAACGGATGTTGTTTCTGATCCTGCAGCAGAACAAGGTAGTCTTGTATGCAGAAATTATCTCAAGCAAGCTAGCTCGGAAGGGTTTTTGTGGGGCGGAGGACAATGATAAGCTGATAGAAAAAGCTGCGGTGAAGTCTGTTTCCTTTTACAAAGCTGTAACTAGGTCATCTACAGAGGTACATACAGCCAAAAGTCTCTGATCTGTCACATCTCTTCTAAAGATTAAAACTTATACTTTAATGATACATGTCATAACATAATTGGAATGCTTTGTATGCTTCCAGCTAGACGACGCTAGATCGTGCGTCAACATAAAAAACAAATATCCCTTCATTTATATGTATATTCGTTTTTCATCTATTTATTCGCTTGTATTTTTTCATTTACTCTTTCATTTATCCATTAAACTATCTATGCAACCATTCAACCGTCCGTGTGTTCGTCCACATGTCCGTCCGTTTGTCTGCCTGTATATCTGTACGTCTGTCTGTCTGTCTGTCTTTCTCTTTAATTAGATTGTTACATGTCTTATTATCTCGTGCGCCTATAGGATTTTTTTTATTGGATCGTTACGCTAATGCGTAGCTTGCATTTAGGATTCTTTTTTATTAGATTGTTTCATTAATATTTCTTACACCTTGAGGATTATATTTTATTGAATCGTTACGTTAATACCTCGTGCACTTATGGGATTCTCCTTCACTCGATTGTTAAGTTGGTATCTCGCGCATTTTTTGGATTCTCCTTTTTATTAGTTTGTTACGTTAGTATCTCGTGCACCTTTAGGATTCCCTTTCACCCGATTGTTATGTTAGTATCTCATGCACTTTTGGATTCTCTTCCATCTGATTGTTAGATAAGTATTTCGTGCACTATTAGGATGCTCTTTCCTTGCATTGTTACGTGAGTATCTTGCACACTTTTAAGATACTCCTCCATTCAAAAGTTACGTTAGCATCTCGTGCATTTCAGGATTGACTTACATTCGATTGTTTCGTCAGTATCCCTGCACCAGTAGGATTCTCCTTTACTGGATTGCTTTGATAACATCACGCGCACTTGATGGATTCTATTTCATTCATATCTTGCACACATTTCTTTCATTTGAAAGTTATTTTAGTAACGTTTTTTAATCTATCCTAATGTTTGTGTCTCACTTTTATGATTCTCTTTCAAAGGAATGTTACGTTAGTATCTCGTGCACCTTTATAATTCTCCAGTGTTTCATATGATTGTTACGTTGGTATCTCGTGCACTTTCAGTATTCTTTTTCACTGGATTGTTACGTAAGTATCTCGTGTACCTCTAGGATTTTCTTTCAACCGTTGTTACGTTATTATCTCGCTTACTTTTAAGACTGCCATACATTCGAGTAATAGTTAGAGGGCTTTTCGATTGAGTGTCGCACAACCAAGACCAACGTTATCCCAACGGCAAAGCAGAGGAAAGGAAATTGCTTCTTATAGCCAATGAGAAGCCGAAGTAAAAACAAACAATCCGACCAAGACGCGGGAAAACGGGGGTCATCAAGTCGTGATTGGTTTTAGTCTTGCATCTGATTGGTTGAGTGGTGGCGTGAGTTTTTTGGACCAATCAAAGAGCAAAGTAAAAGAAAACTAATGCAATCTCAGATTAATTTCGACACTCAATTGAAATTTGCTCTCTAGCGTGAAAATGAATAGAATTCAGACGTCAGGGTTATGTGGCAGCAATGTGGCCGCTTGCGACGGATCGACATCTTTCTCAGAATTCTTCTCAGATCTTTCCACGGTCTCCAATGTGGGCTTGTAACGAGTCTCGTCCAGATACATGCTGAGTAATGCTGCCACAAGAGCGTTCAATCCCATGATCCCGTACGGAAAGATTGGATGGATTCGTTGCTGAAAAGAGAAAAAACAAACTTGATCTTCATAATTTGTTTTCTAGGGTGCCACTCTCACCGCAGGGAGTCAAAAACAGTCGATAAAGTGCTCCAATTTGAAAACGCGTAGAAGGTTTTAAGCTTGGAATCAAATCGATTTGTTCTCTGGGGATGCTGCTATTTTAGTGGCACTATGTTGCCATCGTGTTGTCGCTAACATAGTTAACCCCTTCACCCCCTGAGAGCGACCAGCATCCCACTTCTCCTTACAATATCACACTTGAGTCAAACATTAAGGTCACGAAAATAAAGGAAATGATCACCAACTTAAGAAGCTCTTGATTGCTTAACAAATTCTCCTTGTCAGCACCTTAGGAAAGGTAAGAAAACAGTATGGAGAATATGCATACTGGTGCCAGGGTTTAAAGGGATGATCCTTTCATTATAGTACTCAGTAGGTTACTGAGCGTTGCTTCGTCTATCAAAGCGTCAGCTCTTCAAAACTTGCTGGCGCAGCTCATGCGGCTTTAATGACTTGTATGTGATAATTCGATTTTTATTTTTCTAAGGTTTTTCAACAAAAAAAGAAAAAGAAAACGGCCCACGTATGCTTTCTGTGGCTTACCGTGTATATAACGTACGAAGAACTGAATGATCCAATACCAGCTGCAGCTTCTGATGTTCCCAATGCAATGTTTCTTAGGTGAGGAATCAATATTAGAAGGGTCGATTAAGTATAACTAACCATAGAAATCCCTGTAGATTCGAACAGATTCTAAAAATTCGATAACCTAGCCAGATAAGGCTATCGCCCCGACAAGCTTTGTTTGGTTTGGCAAAGAAATATTCTAATGTAGACCTGCAGATGTAAGAGCTAGGAATTTTTAAAACGCTTTGATATTTTGAAGTCATTGTAGCATCGATCGATAGCTTGAAACAAAATCCACAAGTTTCCTTGAGGATTAGACCGGTACAAACTCTTACCTAATAGCTGTTGGAAAAAGCTCCGTTGTATACACATAAAGACCATCGAAAGATATCATTATCCAAAACTTGGCCCAGACCAGCGACATGATGATTTTACCGACAAAGAAACCTGTTGAAATGACAATAAAAATTGTTGAATATGTATCAAAATTAAATACAAAGCTGACATTGATAAATCACCAACATACTTTACATATTAATGTCTATTAACATCATGTTAATTAGATTTAACTCTCTGGATGGAGCACATGATTTATTCTGTAAGTGGGCATGTAGATGCCCACTCTCATTCTTGAACACCATCAACAAAAGTCAAAACTTACCCTTGTTGGATTCGTCATCTGTTGTCAAGAGGACGGAGACGGCAGCACCGATAGCGGTAAGAATCATGGGAATCATAACACCCTTTTTGCGTCCAAATCTAGAAGAGGTTAGCCATGTTTCAGCACTGGTACGTTTTACACGGGCTGAAAACTAAAACCAGATTATATTGCTCAACCCCCACCCCCCCCCCCCCCACAGTATCTTTAGAACCTTACCCCCTTATTTATCGAATGGCTATGAAAAACAACTCCTAGAATTGGAAGCCTGATTGAAGCTTTAAGCGTTTTCCTGTTCATGCCTCTGACATACAAATCAATAGCATTGCCGGAATTTTTTTCTAACCTGTTGTAAATCCAAATGCCCGCCGTAATTGCTGGAAGCTCTGTGACACTGGCTAAGAAGAAGTTAAAGTGCATGCTGCCGCCAATGTAGGGTGCGCTCATGAATACACCATAATACACCATGGCATTAGCAAACCTAGAAAAAAAAAACAAAAACAAAAAATACAGAGTACTCGCTCTGAGTTCAAGGCCGGGACGGTCAGTATTTCCCTCTCTCCACTCAGAGTTTATCTGGGTAAAATAAAATTGAGACAAAAAAATCCATGGAGAAGTATGCACTTGCCATGGAGAAGCATCTAGTTCAGAAGGAAGAAAAGCCCTGCTTTCCTGGTGGTAAAAGACCATTAGGTTGGCATGACTCTTTGACCAAACGAAACTCGCTTTTCAGAGGTAAACATATCTCTGAAAGTTCCCACGTTTCCTTGCGTAAAACGAGGCGAATGTCTTCTCCACAAATTTTACTCTAACATCAGTCTACATGTTCTTCATACTATTTTCCATACATTTCGTATTATCCTTAAAAGGAGAATTCGTCATAAAATCAAGAGCTTCTTGAGTTCGTGATCATTTCTTTTATTCACATGACCTTAATGTTTGACGTGATTCTTAATTCTGGGTGACACTGTTAGGAGAAATTACATGCTTATCACTGTTAGGAGTTAAAGGGTTCATGGCTGAACTGTATTTCCAGACGGAATCTTGACTTCTGTCGATGCAAGTTCCTCTGAAGTGAGGGTTCGGTAAGGAGGAGACAGTAATTTGTCTGAAAACCAAATCACATTTAACAGTAGTGGCATATTTTCAATAGCTGAAATTCATGAATCTATTGTTTGAAGGGATACATGACTTCTCATTGATCTAGCTTAGTGCGCAAAAGGGAAATGATAATTATTTGTGATTTAAATATTTCTTCCTCTCACCAACAATACCACGTGATCACGGTCTTAATAGCCATCTTGCGTGAAACAAACAAATCCCGGATGTCTCCCATTCTCTCTTCGCGTATTTCTTCAAGTTTGATTTCCTCCATTGAAATGTTCTTGCCATTGACGCGGGCAATTCTTGAGCAGAGATTCGTAGCCTCCTTTGTCTTCCCTTTTACAATCAGCCAGCGAAGAGATTCTGGCGTAATCCTGTCACAAAGAAAATTGCAAGTAGTAGTATTAGAAGAAACACCATTTTGAGGTAACTTATAAGATATTATCGAGCTCAAACTAAGAGTGAAATTTACATACCGATTGTGAGCAGTGAATATCACGGTGGAAATACTTGAACATGCAATTATTTAATGAGGAACAATTCATAACAGTTATTTATCAGATACTTACCAATAACAAACGCTCATGGCCTCGAATAAGTTAACCTTTTAATCGTGGAGTGACAAGCATTTAACTTCTTCACACAAAGGGCATTATAATTAGCTCATGATCACCTCAAGCTCTTTGAGGGATCTGGAACTCGACACTTACAAGAAGCCAAGTGCAAGAGGGATTGCTGGTGCCCCTGTGACAATGCACAGTGATCTCCAATCTGGTATGAGGTAGGCAATTCCCGCCAAGGACATCAACGAAATGGTCCAAGAGTACCAAAGAGAGGTTCCCATCATAGCTCTGTGGCGAACGCCCACAAATTCAGAGATAAGTATATAGATAGCAACTATGCCACCTGATGAAGAAAATACACAAGCCCGATCAGATTAGTGGGGGAGGGGGGGGATGAAGAATGGCGCTAACCAGTTTATCAGCCTAACTGTCAACCCTAGTTTTGAAGAAAGAAATTCTAACTGGCTTACGATGTTGTACACTGGAATCCCTTTGGTTTGGTTTTTCTACGTTCGATGGAAAACTGCTCTAGGAGTGAATAAACGGATCGGAGGTTACCTTTAATATTTTTTACAGTGCATTTACCTAAATTAAATCCAACAATGAAGCGAAAAAGAGTGAATAGCCAATAGGAGTTTGAGAAAGCTGACAGCAAACTGAATAGTGAAATAAGAAATCCAGTTGTAAACGTGATGATTCTACGGCCGAATTTGTCTGATAAAGTACTGACTGCGGCAGCGCCCGTCAGAGACCCAAGGAAGAGCAAAGATGAAGACACAGTTCCATAGATCGCTTTGTCACACACCAGATCAAACTGTGACGAAAGAAAGAAAACAGAAACTTGACTGAATGACTTTGTTTCCACTTGGCTAGAAGTAACAACTCATAAGAATAACTTCTATTTCCTGTCGAATTCAGGCTGTTCAGCATATTTAAACTAAGTTTTCTAAAACCAAAGCTAAACGAATCAAAAAGCAACTAAAGTGCTTTTCTGATGGTGTCGTAAAGCCATGACCAACGTAATCAGTAGAGCACATTAAAAGAAAGGAAAATACTCAGAGAGCAAATGAGAGCTCATAGTAAAAACAACCAAACTGCCTAAAGCGCGGGTAAACAAAGACGACCATGCCGTGGTTGGTTGGTTTTAGATCTGATTGGTTAAGGGAATGGCGAGTTTTCTGGATCAAAGAAAGTGCCAAGTAAAACAAATCAATGCAATCCCTGATTACTTTCGAGCCCCTATTGAAAATTGCTCCAAGATTTAAGGAAGATGCTTTTCAATCGAAAAGCCTCTCCTGGCTCACTACTGTCTGTACCTGTGTGACAACTGATGTATATTCGCCAACAAATTCCCAGGCTGCTCTCGACATGTTACACCTCAGATTGTAGTTGTCGTCCTCAGTATAAACAATTCCATCCATCTGACACTCGGTGCTGTTTGCAACGCAACGCCAGCCGGGCTCAGCGGTTATGAACGTGTTGATAAGCATCGGCCATGCAAGCCAAAAAAACCCGAGCACGTTGGCGAAGATCAGCAGACGAAATTGATAACGGCCGAAGCTGCCGATTTTTATGAGCACTTCGTCAGCAGTTAATGCCATTGCCTGAATAGGTACAAAAGAAAGTGCTAGAAATTGCATCGTTGATTTTTTTAGCAAATCATGTCGTTTTCTTTATTAGCATTTTAACCTGGACAAAAACTGAATTCAATTTTTAGTCAAAATAGATCCTGGAAATAAGTAGAACAACACGAAGGAAACCGAAAGGTATGTTGTCGATCATTAACGACTGCATGACATTTTAACACTTCGGCCACAAAGAGAAATCGAAATATGTAGGACCTGGTATATATTTCACCCCCAAGTGTTTCACAGTATCACTCCAGAATCCGAAATAAAATCCGTTTCCGGTTGGCTGTTAAAAATGACCTATCACTAAGGTTAAAAATACAAAAGCAGGTCTGAATGTTTCTGTCACGTTACCGTTGCATTACTTGCTATATGATTACATCACGTATTCTGAAGTTTCCGGATGAACTCGTGCTCGGTGCTGTTCTAGGGAATAAATAGTCAATATGGCCCCTAGCATGTCTTCCTTCTTCATTGACTCGCCTTAGCATAACATTTACATTATGGTACCTTAGCATATCATTTATCCTGGTGGCCACTAGATGACTAAAATGAACGCATCATTAACTCATTTCTCCCCATCTAATTATACCAAAAGTGTCCTTCCTTCCCTCCTTCAACAAGCCCCAATCCGATATGTCGCGTGTAAATACTGAGAATCATCCCGTAGAATCTCACTTTACATCACATCATCAAAAGTAAATAAATAAGTAAATAAATGAAATCATTATTTCTATTATCACTGCGCACATTCGCCTAAGATTTACTTACAATGATTGGGAGTCAAATATAAATCGCTGCCAACACTAATCAAGTACCACCTCGACTCCGCGGTAAGCTGACAAGGATGAATGCTTTGAAAGTCAACACGTTATTTTAACGTTTCCATTCTGATCTCAAATGTCTTTTTTTTTTTTTCAGCCTGCAGCTTCGTGATTGGTCTAGTTGAAGCGCGGATATCTCAAGATCCTACTTACATTGGGATGGACTTTCAGCTCTCTTAAAAGATTCTAAAAGTAAAGATATGCTATAACTAATGCCTCTAAGGTATCTATTTATTCAAAGTAAAAGTATTATCAGATTCAAGGAAACGTTTTAAGTGGCGATATCTGTAAGAGTGGTCCAGGGTATTTCGCTCAAAAGTACTCTTGGGAGATATCATTTATTTAGATACACAATTGGATTACTTCCTTTTGTTCGTCGCGCGAGTCAAAATAAGAAAGTCAGAGCTGAAAAAAGAAAAAAAAAAGATGTTAGCGCGCCTCCGGGAGCTTCTAGAATGAGGCACGAACATTAGTTTTTTCTTCACTGATTTTTTTTTTATTCGCGGGACGGACTTCGCCGAAAAGGAGGGCCTGCTTGTAGCCTCGAGATGTTATCGCCGGCTACGCTAAATGAAATCCTGTAGTTTTGTTCTGAATGTTCATACAGGTTTGAATAGCTTAAGCTCTCTAAACTCAAATATAATAGAACAGAAACCAATTCTTGAAAAAGAGTTTCTCATCTCAAGACGTCGACTGAACGCCAGATTTTAGCCGTTTAAAATGTTGAGATTAGTAATCAGTGTGTTCCAAAAGTCTAAATCCAAGATTTATGAAGCCACTAATACTGAAAGAACGGTCGGAGTTTGCTCAACATTCTAATTTTCATAATTCTGCCTTCACCAAAAGTTTGAAAGCAATTCAACTGGAGTTTTTTTTAATGGTCTGTTCTGGACTTGCGAAATATCTCCCAAGAGAGAGAGAGTACTTTTGAGAAACTTCAGGCAGCTGTCTAACGGGTGTTTTTCAACAAATTATGGCGAATCTCTTAAAAAACACATATCAAAATTGAAATGCTTTCCAAACTCCTTAGATATTACACAATTTGGAAATACAAACGATTTGCGGTGTGTTACGAAGAGCGAGCTTACTAACTTTTGAAATTTTCGATGTCGCAAGAGGTCAAAAACTGGGTCTTTTGCAACTTTGATTATTGAGAGCTCTCGAAAACAATTCTTTTAATATATTTCCAGAAACCAATATGGTGATTTACTTACTACCATAGATAGTTTAATGGGCAAAGTTTTGGGCAAAACTTCTTTCCGTTGCGAAATACCTTAGACAACTCTTACTCAGATCGCCACTTAATAAGTGTGTTGGTTAAGGCCCACGTTTCAATATTTTACAATAGATTAAAAAATGGCCCTTGGGGATCTACCACATTCTTGATTAAGCTAGTTTTCAAATCTTAATTTAATATTTACATTAGTATAAAAGGTTTTTTTAAACTTTATCATAAAACTGAATCTGATGTTTTGGAGCTGTGATTAAAAACTCCTAAACAAGCTGTAACTTGCTTCAAAAGAACACGATTTCCACTAATAGTGGGTGTAATCTAAAATGATTGAGAGAAAACGTTTCTTAGAATATGTCCATTTAGAATAGTCTATTTCTTTAAAATTGATTTAAAAAAAATAACCCTTGAGGGTCTATCACATCCTTCATTATGCTAGTTTTCAAATCTTAATTTAATATTTACATTAGCATAGAAGGTATTTTTTCAACGTTATCACAAAACTGAACCTGCTACTTTGGAGCTGTGATTAAAAACTCCTTAACGAACTGTAACTTCCTTCAAGAGAACACGATTTCCACCAATAGTTAGCATAATCTAAAATAATTGAGGGAAAACGTTTCTTGAAATGGGCCATAAAACATTCTTTTTGATATCTGAAATATTTAAACACTCGCTATAAACCAAAAATTGAACAAACTGGTCCTATTTTAGGCCAAAACCATGTTCAATCCTTTTCATGAAAAAGTATCGAATTGATATACAGAACTGCATTTATAAAAAGTTACAGCTCGTCCAGAATGTCGCTACTCTCTTCAAGTCATTATCCTTTCGAGAAAGCACGATGATGTTATTCGCATTCCCTTCAATTTTCATTTGCTTCCAATAAAGAATCGTATTATCTGTTCAATACGCACAAACTCAACCGGGATTAACAGGGTCTTTATTACCTAAGAATGTGCGCGATATCGATGCTTCCCCAAAGGGCTTGTAGATAGAAGGAAGAGTTTTTTTTACAGATTTTCACTAATACCAAGTTGATTATTCGCTGATCTTAAAGGGAATTCTTACTTCATATGGGAACTGTTCGCTCATACTGGTCCGGCGTGGCGTGAGAGGTCCTATCACTAACCAAGTGCTCACGTACGCGTGTGGATAAATGTCGAGAGGTTTCGCCGACATAGTAGGCATTACGGCCCGCACATAAGAACTTGTAAACCACACACGTACGGAGCCCACGAGGGATGGGGTCTTTCACATAAAAAATATTGCCCATTTTAAGAGATGAGAAAATCAACTTAATATCGATGTTGTTGCCATAACGCTTAACAAATTGGCGAACCCTTTTTTGCGTGAAAACAGAAAAAGGGCCAATGTAAGGCCCATAAAGGCTCATAACTTGTTTATAATTTTCCTTGTAAATGCATACATTATTCTGTTACTATTGTTTGTTTTGTCCAATCTGCATTTTGTTATACAATTTAAATTAAACTTTATTCTTTGTATTATTCAGAACTAAAGATGACAGAAGAACTGTCGAAATACGTTTTACATAGCTCATCCTTCTTTACCTTGAGCATTAATTGCGGAGGTACCCTAATCTTGTATGTTCAAGGGCCAAGGTGAATGTCCTAGATTATTCTTATGCCGAAATCCGTATAGCACGTGTTTACATCACCCTAACTGTATATCGTGTAATCCTCGCTGTCTTACACGAAGGTGGCAAAAAGGTTTTAAACGTGACGTGATTTAGCCCAAGCTTATTCGTGATGCGTTAATTTTACAGAGAGGCGAGGTGAGGTGAGATCTGAAGCTTTTTTTTTTTAACTCGCGACTCGTGAATACACAAATATATATATAGTGAATTTTTCAAAATTTCGCCCGTGAAACAGGCCCAGTACCCACTGATCCGAGCCCTCTTCTTTGCTAACCTCTTACACCTTCTCGACATCTTGCTCTTCGGCTGAGCATTTTAAACAAAATTTTACTAAAATTCTCAAAATTTAAAACCGAAAACACGATTTAGAGAGCAACGTGAGAAAAATCTTCACCACTTCCTGACGGGAGATTTGCATTCTTATTCCGTCCTTAACCGATATAGTGGCGGCAAGGCCCATCACTAACAATTATTCATTCCTCGCTTAAATTACAGAAAGCTTCCACAATGAGTCAAAAGACCTATGTAACATCCCTCACTGTGCTCACATCTCCATTCATATACAAAATAACTGAATTGCAGCGTCCTCGCGTGGCAGAAGTGTTATGCTTTTCACCTGGGGTGTAATAATCTAAAACTTTAACAAAGGAAACTGTTATCATGATGGTTACTAGGAACGTAGGCCTGTGTAGAGTTATGTTAAGTGGCGTGAATTTGATACATGAATTTAAAATGTGATAAAACATCCCTCTGGTGACATTTTAAGTGAGCTGAGTGGAGGAAGATAGCAGGTTTTAAAGCACTTTTATCATTCATCGTATTTTCTCGATCAATCGAGAAAATACTACAGGCTGAGGCAAAACAGATAATTCTTTCTCATGAATATAACCGATGCGACATGTCTCTGCTTGGATTTGATAGTAGTTTTAAACTTGAAAATGTTCAAAGAGAAATAAATAATCCTTAGGGAAGACCCAGGTCGTATCGTCTCGAACATCTGACCAATAGTGTCACTTCCGAAAAAAGAAAACCCCGCGTGACAACACCGGGCCCCAATTAAACAGCGCCCGTATGTTCAAGGTTGGTTTATTGGGCCAAGTTTCATATAAACGCAATGAGCGTTTCATCGCGAAAAAACGGGTTTCCCTTCAAATTTAACTTTTATCCTGGTACTACGTAACAATACAAAGCTTGGCACAATACCGATAACTAACACTTCTGGCCTCTTGTGAGTTTGCCCTTTATCATTTTAAGCCATTCT